ACCCACTGATCTAACTTTGAATAGAACCACAGTAAGCAGCCTCCTGTCTTCTTTCCCGTAAGGCAAATACCAGTCGTATTGAAATACAGCTTATTTCATTCTGATCATAATATCTTTCATAATGTATAATAATGATGTCATACTGATATACAAAACAATAGGGCTGTGTTTTGTATAAACATGTGTTTTGTCCAGCATTGTAGAACTGATGCGGCTAAATCACATGTAAAATAATAAAAGCTCTGTATGGTTTTCGCTAGTCTAATTTTATTAGTCCTCATACAGTACATGCTTGTCTCTCGCATGAATGTTGAGACAAAGGGGTTGTCGTGGTATAATATACCATAATATAATTAATGCACAGTATGGATGTATCTATAGACTTACATAGAGTACGATGCATGCACAGTACATTGAGTATGTTTGTACTGTAATTGTGCTGTTTTGCTCTCAACGATTCCCTCTTAAATTGCTCCTTATAGGGGAATAATAAAGTTGTATTGTGTCGTGTAGTCACATCGAGATGCGCTCGCAAGGCTATGGAATGGAATTTCTGCACAATTGACTCCATTAAGGCGAGAGGTTAGGGGTGTTGTGAAGCTTTCTGCTCCTGCTCCCATTCTAGTCACTTCCTGATTTGAGTAAGCGTTCAGGGGCCATCGTGCCGGGCCCTCAGAGTCACAGGTGTCATAGTAACTGTCACAGGCTCAACCTTAATGGCTCCTGGGGTGAGGCGGGTCATGCAGCTTAATCTAGAGCCAACACACCCAGGCTTCTTCAGGTCCACAGTCATTTGGGTGCAGGTAGAGACTTGGAATTCGGATGGAGTGATTTTATTCAAATGCAAATCATTACTGCGATATACTATTGTGCTGCTTGCCAGGTGTCATGGAAGAGTATGTACTGGATACCTATTTTTATATAGAGTGTCATTTAACCTTATCTCAATGATTTATGTGTGTTTTATTTACTGAATCATGTGTTATGCTTGCTTCACAGAGACTCAATCAGTCAATCATGTTTGCATTGAATAAAAATTCTACCCCCCACCTAAATAGAACATTTTTAAAATGTATCTCGTAGCTGAAAGTCCTATAACAACTGCATGTAGAGGGATAACTCCTAACAAAAAGTAGAGTTGAGTTCTGGTAAAACCCACCCTCCACCTCTACTCGACTCAGTGTGAACTGATCCATTATTAAAACACCATTAGAAGTCAGTAATGAACAGGCAATTCCACAGACAAAGAAAAAAAGTGTAATGATTCATAAACAATCTTAGCAAATAACAGCAATTTCAGACCTAATTCTGAGATTTCACGTCTGAATGCCTCGGCAGTACACACTCCATTAAACATTGTGAATAGCAGCCTTACTTTAAGATTACTACCTCAGCGAACCTCTAGAACTGAGATAACACTGTAGATGGTCCTTGAGTGCTTATTAGGATTAATTACTTTAATCCAGTATGTTACAGAATAATCAAGTCTACCTGCGGTGAATGGTGTGTTTTTACAACAGGTGACAAAATGTTTGTCAAAGACAGCTGAGAATTAATTAATCAAATGCCTGGCTTGTCAAGTCAGTTTGACTCCGTTATTAGCATGGAATCACACGGACTGACAACAGGGTAGAAAATGTTCTGTATTATAATGCACCCATTAAACTTTTAAAGGCTATAAAGGCTCCATTAGTGATATTTGAAGATGGGTATTTGGATAGATGCTAAAAGATGCCATGGTTTTGTACTAACAAACATCAGACAAAAAGCAGAGACGTATATAAATGAAAGCCACCAATCGTTCATTACTGCCTTAATTCTGCTGGACCCAGGAAGAGTAGCTGCTGCCTTGGCAGCAACTAATGGGGATCCTTAATAAATACAAATACAAATACATGACATCTCTATGTTGCAATTCATCTGGGTTTATTCTCATGTACTGCAGCAGGAGGTTTCTCCCTTCGACCTGAAGATCTCCTAAGGCTCAGGCTGCTCTTTACCCCTCCACACACACACACACACACACACACACACACACACACACACACACACACACACACACACACACACACACACGTGTGGGCATCATACACACATACGCATGTAGGCAAGTATGCACACACGCATGCACACACACAAACACACACGTGCATACACACACGATCACACACACACACACTCCTTTAATCAGAGACATTACACCATGTATACCAGGACATGGGAACCACTCCAAACACCCCCTGATCATGATCCACACACCCTGATTAAATGTCATATTATCACAGACATCTGATGCTGTTTCAATACAGGGGTGTGTGTGAATGTGTGTGTCAGTAATGATGAAGCTGGACTATTCCTTAGTGTTGTTGAGATCAGAGCTCCTGTCTCGTTATTGGGGTCAGCACTAAACACACCTGGCAGCCTCTACTCTTAATTGTTTTGTTTAGAAATTATCTTTATTCAAGTTATTTACATTTTACAATAATAATAGTTCATGTAAATAGAATGTAGCTTTCACATCAATACATGGGTCCATAATTACATAACATGGTTTACAGATTTAATAATACTACTCTTTCCATCTCTCCGCTATCGTTCTATCTCTCCTCTATTTATCCATCACTCCTCTATCTTTCTGTCTCCGTCTCCTTCTCCCTTACTCGGGCTTTCTCTCCCTCCACATCCCTCCCTTCTATCTCTCCTTCTCCATCTCCAACTCTCAGTTCTGGGTAAATCCTATTTTCTGCTGCCAGACATCCATCCTCAGGGATGTGAGGAGCGGAGAGCGTTTTTAAGTGTACGTTAAAACCTTCTCCTGGCACACAGCGGAGCAGGGACCGCTCTAAAGAGGACAATCCCTCTGCATGCACATGGCCGTGTTCATGTTCAGCACATTCAAAAATACCATAAGTGTTTCTCCCAATACCACTTTTACAAGGGAGGAAATATGAGGGTCCTAGGAATAATGTGCTGGCTAATCAACGTTTGAAGTGTGAAAATAAATGTATGTTTACGGATATAGACTTAGTTCACTGTGTGTCTTTTTCCTCTTTAAATTAATATGAGAGCCCAACAATAATTCATTTTCAACAGCATAAAAGCATAACAAATACAGTATTCTGGAAGTCTTAAATTCTGCCATAAAGAGCGCTGGCCTAGATATTCTTTATCCGTGACAGACAGATTGACAGATCTTGGATCCAGAAGCCTGAGGACGGTAGAGGATACAGAGTTGACGGAAACTAAAAAGGATGTCCAAATCAAATCATCTCACACAGTCGTTCTAATCATTATGACATCTTGAACATTAATGAGTTATCACAGTCTCTGTTCAACGCTAAGGGTGGTCTTGGGCATACGCCCCACAATAAGGCATACTGCAGCACCACCTTCTGGCTGTTGTGTGAAGTGCAGCTCTATTGTGTATGATGGAAAAATGTCTGAAAATGGAATATAATATGACTAAATATTATAATAGTAAGGCTAATAGCACTGCAATAATAATGGTTCTTTCATAATCTTCTTTCAAAAACAACAAACTAATGTTGTTTTATTTTTGGTTTTATTACAAGCACATGTACAGTTGTTTGCCATTGATAGCTACAGAAAGGCTGGCAAAAATCCACATGTATCTACAGATATCAATCTGTTAAAAAAACTGTATAGAAAAAGACCCCAAAACTGTACATTAATTACCTTTACTACATACAGTATATATATATATCTTAAAGAGTGTACAGAAGTATACATATATTTAAATATAGTCAAAGTTATGAGTGATGTCATAACGCTATGTGCTGATGCATTGTTAAAGATAAATACACATTCTGTTAAACTGTAAAGGCTGGCTGTAAAGTCCAAGCCCTACTAAGTCAGTATAGCTATATATTAGAACAATAAACATCTACTATAGTTATTCATTTGATCACACCTTAACCCATAGTCAATGGCTTTCAAAGTGTCTTTAAAAACAAACCCATATTTCATGCGAGAAACATGTGTTATTTCAGTGCAGGAACACAGAAGAGACAATTGTACTTGGATTTCTTAGTATATTAACTGACACAAAGCAGAATTGTAAAGCTATATCGCTTCATTTGCATGATGTGTCTCTTCTCGTGACAGTTGCAACGATGGTAGATCAATTAAGATAGTTCACGCAGGCTGTTTACCGTTGAATAAAATGATAAGTTCCGGTCTACTTAACTGGGTGTGTCTCCCATAGACACCAATGCAAAAGCAGCTGGGTCTAGTCTACTTAGTTCATAGACTTTTATTGAACCTGAAAAAAAATACAGTGAGTGGGGTATCTTGTTTCCTCTTCCGTCTCTGACAGTTCCTCTCTAGCTGTTTTGGTTATTAGAAAACGGAATATTAATTCTCTAAATTAATACAAGTCAGCGAACAGGTCTTCTCTTCTGAATACAAAAGTAGCAAAACAGGATTGTTCTAAGATATACAAAAATACCTACATCTGAGTATTCTGATCAGAACAGGGTTGCTGCTTGAAAAACCCTTCTACATTACTACATGTCAGTATTTGGTGATCATTTCCGTTATGGATCATGGAAACGTTCTGATGTACTGAAGTGGTTTGTCCAACCAAATTCTAACAGCAACAAGCCAGCTCACAGTTGAACACGTGGGACTTTTGTTCAATAGCATCCATCCATGTTTGCTGATATTATTATAATCATAAAACACAGATATATGATGTCATGTCTTCTTATACATTCAATATTCTGAAGCATATTCAGCAACACTTACAGGACTAAAACTGTCAAATGCACATACTCTCTCTTTCTGAGAGTTTGTTGGTCTTGTTGTGTATTTCTTTCCAAACCAATTGACTATTGAGTTGAGATCTAGGCCTTTTCAAACAGGAAATCTAACAGAGACAAAATGTTACACAGAATATCAAAAAAAGAATCTCAATACAATCAATTCTAGACAATACAGTCAACTTATAATAGTGTAGTTTGTTTCAAGTTTCCAAGCTTTTATCGAATAGGTATTTTACTGGACTAGACATCAGAGCAATAAAAAGAGAGACGTCATATTTCAGTTTGGAGAGTTTTGAACTGTCAGAGAAAGATAGGTTATGCTTGTTCGATTCATAAACCCACTGAGAAACTCAGTACATCCAGTGGTATGACAGAGACAGAGCATGCAAACAGTCCATGTCAATCAACATTAGACACCCTAAACGACTGCCTAAGTACCAGTGTCATTCATCCTCTAACTAATTAACAGATGACCACAGAAGTGCTGATAAAAACACTAGTTCTCACTATTTTTGTAGTCATCCATTTCCTTACAGTCGGTCACTCATAATTTATTCATCCATTGTCATAATTCATTCATGAAACATTCACTAAGTCGTTTATTATTTGTAAACGTTGTCATAGCAATGTCCAGTGTTATAGTTCTAGATTGTGGCGTAATGTGAAGATTTCAGTATCTTTACATTTCAGTGAAGATTCATAATACCACCTAATAACAGATGACCATCTTAAATATCATTACCGCTTTCAATGAAAAAGACATCTGCACACACACACACACACACACACACACACACACCACACACACACACACACACACACACACACACACACACACACACACACATACACAAATACACACATACACAGACACACACAAATACAATGTGTATAACAACATCCTTATCTATATATGGGACATCCATATACTTTTGTTCCTCTCGGTTTGAACAGATCCCACAATGCACCACAGGACCACAAGCCATCTACTATCAAGCAGCTAAATGTGTCTAGAAAAACCTTGGTTTTGGTACAGTCCTCCCTCCCTCCCTCCCTCCCTCCATCTCCCTTTCCTCGTTCTCTCTCTCCTTACACCCACCACACAGACTGTGTTCTTATGAGACGGATGGAGGGATGCGTGACCAGACGAAGGAGTGAATGGATGAATGGATGAGAGGATGAGCGGAGGATGAGAGGAGGTGTAGTGAGGCTCGAGAGGACAGATCCACACGAGCATCACTTCAACAGGAACAAGAGAGGAGAAAGGTTATAGGTTAAAAAAAAAAAAACATGAAGAAAGAGGAGGAAATGGAACATAGAAGCATTAGAGAATATCTGAGGGAGAGAGAGAGCACACAGTGACAGATGAGATGCTAAGACCCCTGCCAGACTCTTGTGAGACAATTATAACACTCTTATAACACCTTCATAAGGCTCTCACGCATCGTGAGACTTCTATGGGTATGTTCTATATGCTTTATGCCAAGGGACAGAGCAAAGCAGCTAAACATAACGTCTACATTCTACACGTTTCTGTGACAGAGATCCACTGCTCCTTAAGGCTTCAGGTCTGAGTGAGAGAGATGTCAGATATCTGCATGGACAATGTTAAAGCCCAGAAACACAGTAGGTTCTCTCTATCTAATACAGTCCACCAATCCTGGTGTGGTGTAAGGCAGAATGTATCTTCCTCTGTCCCACCCAGTCTCAGTGTAAGGCAATAACCAGTAAGGCAAGCCATTGAAAAGGTATTTTCTGATGCTTTGGTTCCAGACTACTGTGTATTTCAAAGGAAACACTGTGTAGATGTTAAGGCGGAAAAGGATTCCCATGCATACTAGTTTCCCACTGTAGTTCCTTAGCACTAGGTGCGGCAGGATGCCTTAGCTTCCATGTCAGGAAATGGGACGGTTACAAGGGGGAATGGGGGTTTAATCACACCACTCTACAGTAGACACAAGGACAGTCTATGACACGGCATACCACACACACACACACACACACACACACACACACACACACACACACACACACACACACACACACACACACACACACACACACACACACACACAGAACTGTGTCTAGTCCAGCAGAGATAAATCACTATCACGGCCTAGCCACTTACAACTGAATCGGAAAAGACTATAGTGTCTTATGGAGTGTTCCTGGATAAGAGATTTGCACAGAGGCAACACCAGTTTGTTCTATAAAAAGCAGGACAGGAAGAGAGGAAGAGAATAGACAAAACAAAGACAGGAAGGTGTGGTCAGTTAAAACATGCCTCTGAACATCCTCCATTCACATTGGACCACTGCTTTATGACAAACACTTGAAATGACATCATCACTGACAGACAGTTGACAGTTGACAGGGAGATACGGGGGAGTGACATACTCTATGACAAATACTTTAAATGACACCATCATTGACAGACAGTTGACAGGGAGATACGGGGGAGTGACATACTCTATGACAAACACTTGAAATTACATCATCACTGACAGACAGTTGACAGGGAGATATGGGGGAGTGGCATACACACGTACTCTCACACACACACACACACACACACACACACACACACTGCAGGGTGGGTCTGAGGGGTCGGACCCACAGTAGACATCATTGGGTGGAGCCAAGGGCCTTTCCACCAATCCACAGCCACTGCTAGTCTGGAGCCAAGTCTGTTTAGTTCACTCAGCTCCTTGTGCTAACACAACACAGCCCTAGGATCGTCCTCCTGTGTGTATTTGGTGTTTGTATGCTTTTTCACAAAGACATTGGTAACTGTAAGCATCTAGATTAGGTATCTATTGTCTAGAGGACAGATTGTTCCAGTGGTCAATTGCTCTACACTGCAATCTTGGTCTAGACTTGCAGTCTTTAAGAGATGGTCTAGACTTGCAGTCTAAATCAGACTAAACTCCACTCTAGACTACACCGAGGTCTCAGGCCCTGCCCCATTGTGGGCGTAGCCTCCCCCAGAGTGACGGGAGTTGCCGGCGAATCGGAGGAGGGGGGTGAAAGTGCAGTAGTTGGGCCCGCCCCTCCAGTGGGTGAACATGAGTTTTTTGGTGAAGGGTTCAGACCTTCTGGGAATGGGGTTTTGGTGGTCGGCCCTCCTGCGCGTGGGCGCGTGGAGAGATGCCAGCGGGGTGAACTCCGACAGCTGGCCGTTATACAGCTTGTCTGCATTCTGTAAGGGAGGGATGGAGAGATGGGAGGAGAGAGAGGAGATATAGAGAGAATATAGGAGTTATTATCTGGATCAAGGTAAGTGGTAGCCAATTCAGGTCCTCGAGGGTGTGGTGCGTGCAGGGTTTTGTTCCAGCCCAGCATTAACCTGATTCAACCAATTCAACTATTTCAACTTATCGTGGTCTTTAATTAAAAAACATATTTTATTTAATCCAGTGAGTCTAAGCAGGGTAGGAACAAAAGCCTGCACTTCCTGCTGTCCCCCAGAACCAGGATTGACCACATGGTGGACCCAGAAGACGACAAACCACGCCACAACCCCCTACCCCAAAACCACATCAACACAAACACACCAGACCCTGTTAGCAAAATATGTCAAGGAGCAAAACATGAGCAAACTGAAGACGTGAACGGTCGGTCAAAGCATGCAGCAGGGGAGGGAGATTCTAGCAGTATGAGCCTTCTGATTAACTCAGTTGGGACTTTGGGATAGATGGAGAATACGTCTGGTCAGGACAGGAGTCTAGCCTCGCAGTCTCAACAGACACACTACATTGTTTAATTAAGGAGAGGTCTGGCCCAGAGACTTAATACGCTACAGGGGAGCCACCTACTCATTTCATCTGATGCCCATTGTGTTATCTTGAGCTCATTATTAAACACAGGCTGCAGTACCTTTTGTAGACACTGGAGGGGGTAAGTGCTCTACTTTAAAATAGTACTTGTTCTGCTGTCACTAAACAATTGCTATGGCACTGAAGATAAACGTATTCAGCATTCAAAAGGAGAATGACGCCTATTTGATATGTTCAACTAGTTGTCATAACTTTACCAGGAAATATATTACATTAATTAGGTTTAATTAGGGTAACGAATAACTCTTAGACTGATGGCATAATAAATCAACTTAATCTGAGACTGGACAGCCTGTCAGTGTGTCACACACACACACACACACACACACACACACACACACACACACACACACACACACACACACACACACACACACACACACACACACACACACACACACACACACACACACACACACACATGCACACACACCCTGTGTTAGTGCACCCGTTCATCTAAGGAAACCCAGACGGAAGGACAACCTGTAAAAATCTGTGTATGTTTATATGTGTGTATCCATCCCATAAAGTCACACTGTTCTTGTGAAGACAAAACAAAGCAGGTCCAACAGTCAAAGACCAACCAACCCCCACAGCCTCACAGCAAACCCCACACAGTGAACCTTGGTCCCAGCCCTTCGCCCCACTCTTCACCGCACTCAGAGTCGGTCCCGCCTGTCTTTACCGTGGTGAGGCTAGGCCTCTGAAGTGGACAGGGCAACAACCCCATCTAGCAGGGAGTCCCGGCTGTAGGTCATAACCCCATCAAAGTTTCTATCAGTCCTCATCCACTGTGGACAGCAAGATACACACGCTTAACACACACAGATCTAAACACACACACACACACACACACACACACACGCTCAACATAAATAGATCCGCACAAACACACACCAAGACCGACACTTGCCATTTTGAATGGGCTTCGAAAATCTGTTTAATGTCAGATACGTTGTTTCTGCATTTATGAATTAGCATTCTAACCAACGCTCTTTCAAGGTACACTTAAGGCACAGACATGGACATGCAAGTCAACAGGCCCCCGTGAGCATGCAGCACTACATGTCCATGCAGAGACACAGAGGGAGGAGAGGGCATGCGGATAGGTTGAGAGAGGGTCACCTGACAGTCAGGTGATAGTCAGGTGGTTGGGTTAGAAACTGATTCTGCTGGAAGTCTGGGAGAGCATGAAGATGGTGGACTGCTCAGAGGTAAGACATGGCCGCTTTGTCTGCCATTCCCAAGGAGACAGAGCCAGGTCAGAGGGGTCAGAGGGTAGAGGTTAAAGGTCACACAGGCCAGGAGAGAGGGCAGGCAAAGACAGAGGAGAGGAGAGAGGGGTTAATAGGAACACTTTATATCTGAAAAAACACTTGATGTTCACTATCAATCACTATTTCAGGAAGAGGAAAGAGGAGGGTGTTGGAAGCTCTTCCGGGTCATGGTGAGGTGAACTGAGGTCAGTTGGGAAAGGTCAGAGGTCAGAGGAATCACTGCACACAGTAGAGACAAATGGTTCATTCAGTAGCGAGAGACATGCCAGACACACAGACGACTCTCAGCCTTTCAGAACAGTTAACACAGGTTATACAGTGATTCTCCTCCAGATGAGTTCTTTAAAAAGAAGAAGTGAACACTGCACACTGATGCAACAGCTCACTTACTTCAAGAACACCTGGAATATATCCACAGGCAGCATACAGCTAAAGTCACAGTGACACATATATATGATATACTGTATATACAGAATGCACATTTAATCCTCTGATTTTAAACATATAACCAAGTGTGTGTGTCTGTGTGCAAATGTAAGCATGTGTGCACGTCTGTGCATGCGTCTGTTCATAATGTGTGTGTGTGTGTGGTGTGTGTGCGTGTGCACTTCTGTGCATAATGTGTGTGTGTGTGCGCTCGCCCACCTGGATGCGTTCTGTGGTGGTGGGCCACAGGGCCCTGCAGACGACCTTCTTGACCACGTCAGGCAGCAAACTGGTGACGATGAGCAGGATGATGCTGAGCCAGGCCGGACCGCTGGACAACATCTGAATAAACACATAGTACATCCTCTGGTAGTTCAGGAAGGGCCTGGGGAGAGGAGAGAGGATCTATGTATTATACATCTATAACTTCTGCATAAACACATAGCACAACCTCTGGTAGGGACATAGAGAGGACAGGATCTATTTTGCCTATATCTATGTTCATAACATATGCAAAAACGATGGTAGCTTGGAGAATAGAAAACAATAGAACAGACTAATACAGACCAAATGATGCCTCCCCATAGCAGAGAGAAGATGACGAAGAAAAGCAGAGAGCCCCAGATGACAAAGTGGTTGATCCACGTCCAGTAGTGTGTGTCAAGGGCCAGCTGTGAGATGGAGAGACAGAGAGAGACAGAGACAGAGACAGAGACAGAGAGAGAGAGAGAGACAGAGACAGAGACAGAGACAGAGGACAGAGACAGAGACAGAGACAGAGAGAGAGAGAGAGAGAGAGAGAGAGAGAGAGAGAGAGAGAGACCATCAACTGGTATTTATATCAAAGCAGTAGAATTCACTCTAATAACGAGTCCCTTTAACATTTAGCATAAAGTAGTGCCTTAGAGGGGGTGATGGGTAGGATGTTACTGTACCTTTAACGTGACTGTGAACACCAGCACAGTGAAGACCAGAGTCCCAAACGTCCAGTTACCAAACATCTGTGGAGAGGAAGGTATTACAGAGAGAAATCACACATACTATTAGACCTACAGCCATTTCAGAGGAGGACAGTATGCTACTGTAATTACAGTCAGCCTGGACTAACTCATTTCCTTTGCATTACTACATATTTTAGTGGCCGTGTTTAGCTTTTAAAAGTGAGCAATTATCCAGGATTAATCAATACAAAATCACACAGTTTAGTTGTATTTTCCACAGATGTTTTTTTCATACAGTTATATGAAGTGAAACCAGTGCAGAGATGGAAAATGGATATTAAACTATTTTCAAGCTGCTTTTATTAAAACAATTCTGTATTTAAAGTACAGAATAACCTGAAATTACCTAAATGTGTCTATAAAAAAATATTGTAAAAAATAAAACATGTTCTGTGAGTTCAAATAGCTTGTGATGTTGATGGAATGCTAATACCCAAACCAACGGTGATGAGGGTCAACAACATGAAGATACCAGCCAATACATTAACCCACCTGCTTTCCTCAAGGGTGCTTAAAGGGACAATTCACCCCATTGTATGAATACACCTGGCAAACTTTGACTTTGAGGGTGAACCATCTCTTTAACGGTGTCAAAATGAGCCGTGTCTTTAAAACTACTGCACGGGCAAATTAAATTCACTGATTGAAGAGAACGTTGAAAACAGACTCCTTCTGTCTGCGTTGTTTTAACTTCCTCTTTTTCTGTTTTCTTTATTTTATTTTTCTGCCAAATATACCACCAAGACAATAAGTTAGAGATAGAAGTCAAGTCAGCTCCACAGACGGTCATTTTGTTTCAAATTGCATAACTATGAAATATCCAACCTGACATGTCCTATACAACAATATTCGTCAAATGTACAGTTGAAGTCGGAAGTTTACATACACCTTAGCCAAATACATTTAAACTCAGTTTTTCACAATTCCTGACATTTAATCCTAGTAAAGATTCCCTGTCTTAGGTCAGTTAGGATCACCACTTTATTTTAAGAATGTGAAATGTCAGAATAATAGTAGAGATAATTATTTATTTCAGCTTTTATTTCTTTCATCTCATTCCCAGTGGGTCAGAAGTTTACATACACTCAATTAGTATTTGGTAGCATTGCCTTTAAATTGTTTAACTTGGGTCAAACGTTTTGGGTAGCCTTCCACAAGCTTCCCACAATAAGTTGGGTGAATTTTGGCCCATTCCTCCTGACAGAGCTGGTGTAACTGAGTCTGGTTTGTAGGCCTCCTTGCTCGCACACGCTTTTTCAGTTCTGCCCACACATTTTCTATAGGATTGAGGTCAGGGCTTTGTGATGGCCACTCCAATACCTTGACTTTGTTGTCCTTAAGCCATTTTGCCACAACTTTGGAAGTATGCTTGGGGTCATTGTCCATTTGGAAGACCCATTTGCGACCAAGCTTTAACTTCCTGACTGATGTCTTGAGATGTTGCTTCAATATATCCACATAATTTTCCTTCCTCATGATGCCATCTATTTTGTGAAGTGCACCAGTCTCTCCTGCAGCAAAGCACCCCCACAGCATGATGCTGCCACCCCCGTGCTTCGCAGTTGGGATGGTGTTCTTCGGCTTGCAAGCGTCCCCCTTTTTCCTCCAAACATAACGATGGTCATTATGGCCAAACAGTTCTATTTTTGTTTCATCAGACCAGAGGACATTTCTCCAAAAAGTACGATCTTTGTCCCCATGTGCAGTTGCAAACTGTAGTCTGGCTTTTTTATGGCGGTTTTGGAGCAGTGGCTTCTTCCTTGCCGAGCGGCCTTTCAGGTTATGTCAATATAGGACTCGTTTTACTGTGGATATAGATACTTTTGGACCTGTTTTCTCCAGCATCTTCACAAGGTCCTTTGCTGTTGTTCTGGGATTGATTTTCACTTTTCGCACCAAAGTACGTTCATCTCTAGGAGACAGAACACGTCTCCTTCCTGAGCGTTATGACGGCTGCGTGGTCCCATGGTGTTTATACTTGCGTACTATTGTTTGTACAGATGAACGTGGTACCTTCAGGCGTTTGGAAATTGCTCCGAAGGATGAACCAGACTTGTGGAGGTCTACACATTTTTTTCTGAAGTCTTGGCTGATTTCTTTTGATTTTCCCATGATGTCAAGCAAAGAGGCACTGAGTTTGACGGTAGGCCTTGAAATACATCCACAGGTACACCTCCAATTGACTCAAATGATGTTAATTAGCCTAGCAGAAGCTTCTAAAGCCATGACATCATTTTCTGGAATTTTCCAAGCTGTTTAAAGGCACAGTCAACGTCAATGTAAACTTCTGACCCACTGGAATTGTGATACAGTTAATTATAAGTGAAATAATCTGTCTGTAAACAATTGTTGGAAAAATTACTTGTGTCATGCACAAAGTAGATGTCCTAACCGACTTGCCAAAACTATAGTTTGTTAACAATACATTTGTGGAGTGGTTGAAAAACGAGTTTTAATGACTCCAACCTAAGTGTATGTAAACTTCCGACTTCAACTGTACCTTGGCCATTCATTTCCTTTGTCACATACTCTAGTCTATAGTGTATGGTTGGAACTGTGTTAACCCTAAGCTCTAATGTACTGCTGCCTGACCGTCTCACAGTCTTTTGCCTTGCAGTCTGACAGGAGATGACATCTTAGAGCAGGGGTAGCCAATCCTGGTCCTGGAGGGTCGCAGCATGTGCAGGCTTTTGTTCCAGCCCAGCTCTGTGTTAATGTTGGGCGGAAACAAAACCCTGACCTAAAGACTCTATATGAGCGGTTCTCTACCACCATCCATGGTAGATGTGTACTAGCAGAAACCACTGTTGTACTGGACACACAAACAACATGACGAAGTCTGGACTACGGCAACTACACAATGAGACAAGGAGACATGAGTGGGGTTGGAGGATGGGTTTACTACTACTACACTGATATACCTACAGCTCATTGGCCTATAGCAGGCAGTAGGGGTTGGATATGAGGGGATACCTGCTGGATGATGTGATGACGGGCGGTTTGGTTACGCAATGCGACGGGCAGTGGAGGAGGAGGGGGGCGGGGAAACAGTCCAACTAAAACTAAAGCAGGGTGACAGACAGATAGGGACAGGCTTACCATCTGTGTGTTGGTTGTCATTAGCTGAGGAGAGGAAGAGAAGCATAAAGAACAAGCAACATAAAGGTAAGAGGAGGAAGAAGAGGAGGAGGAAGAAGAAGAAAATAAAAGAAAGAACTGGAGGCCGGAAAACTAAAACTAAAAAATCTGATGTTCAAAGGAAATAAAGCAAAAACAGGCAAATCAAAGCAATCCAAAAGGTTAAAGTAACATAAATTAAGAAATAAAAAACGATAAACGGCACAGAGAAAGATGTCTGCAGACTCAACATGCTCTCCTTTCGTAGATATGAATGGGAGAGCCGGTCATGCTGTTATGCAAAGGATCACAGGTGAATCTGCAGGCCAGGAGATCTTATGTCACCCATTTACCTAAAATCACCACACTTTCCACTGGCCACAGACGTCAGCTGTTCTGACTGAAGTTTTAGAATGTTGTTCACTAACATGAATTCAATGTCAAATGAACTCAAAGGTCCATGTTGAATTGTCGGTAAAAGCTGGGTCAAAACTAGATGAAAAGTATGTACATTGATGACAATTACGTTTTCCACGTTGACAAAACATGGAAACAACATCGATCCAACCTGTGTGTGACCAGTGAACTCACTCATAACCCACAGTGACAATCATCCACTCCACATCACCGGACACTCCTTCATGGCAGTAAAAGAAACACTTGACATAGGCTTGGAGAAGTGCAGTATGAACAGACGATCACTATATACTTCACACCAACATATACTCTTTAACGCAGCACTACAGGTAGCCACGGCGACGGTGTCTTTACCTGTCCGTTGCTGGTGAAGGTGCTGTTGTTGAACAGGAAGTAAGCACCAAAGAAGAAGACGACGGCGTCGAACACCCCCAGGAAGGTCCAGTAGATGAAGATGGGCCAACGCAGGAGAGAGTTCTTAGCTATGTCCCTATAGAGAGGACACATTACAGTACACATTATATACAGTAAATATAGGAGGGAGTTCTTAGCTATGTCCCTATAGAGAGGAAACATTACAGTACACATTATATACAGTAAATATAGGAGGGAGTTCTTAGCTATGTCCCTATAGAGAGGAACATTACAGTACACATTATATACAGTAAATATAGGAGAGAGTTCTTAGCTATGTCCCTATAGAGAGGACACATTACAGTACACATTATATACAGTAAATATAGGAGGGAGTTCTTAGCTATGTCCCTATAGAGAGGAAACATTACAGTACACATTATATACAGTAAATATAGGAGGGAGTTCTTAGCTATGTCCCTATAGAGAAGAAACATTACAGTACACATTATGTACAGTAAATATAGGAGGGAGTTCTTAGCTATGTCCCTATAGAGAGGACACATTACAGTACACATTATATACAGTAAATATAGGAGGGAGTTCTTAGCTATGTCCCATATAGGAGAAACATTACAGTACACATTATGTACAGTAAATATAGGAGGGAGTTCTTAGCTATGTCCCTATAGAGAGGACACATTACAGTACACATTATATACAGTAAATATAGGAGGGAGTTCTTAGCTATGTCCCTATAGAGAGGACACATTACAGTACACATTATATACAGTAAATATAGGAGGGAGTTCTTAGCTATGTCCCTATAGAGAAGAAACATTACAGTACACATTATATACAGTAAATATAGGAGAGAGTTCTTAGCTATGTCCCTATAGAGAGGACACATTACAGTACACATTATATACAGTAAATATAGGAGGGAGTTCTTAGCTATGTCCTATAGGAGAAGAACATTACAGTACACATTATATACAGTAAATATAGGAGGGAGTCTTAGCTATGTCCCTATAGAGGAAACATTACAGTACACATTATATACAGTAAATATAGGAGGGAGTTCTTAGCTATGTCCCTATAGAGGAAACATTACAGTACACATTATATACAGTAAATATAGGAGGGAGTTCTTAGCTATGTCCCTATGAGGAAACATTACAGTACACATTATGTACAGTAAATATAGGAGAGTCGGGAGTCTTAGGCATACGTACCCTTGCATCCTAAGAGAGGAAACATTACAGTACACATTATACAGTAAATATAGGAGGGAGTTCTTAGCTATGTCCCTATAGAGAGGAAACATTACAGTACACATTATATACAGTAAATATAGGAGGGAGTTCTTAGCTATGTCCCTATAGAGAGGACACATTACAGTACACATTATATACAAGTAAATATAGGAGGGAGTTCTTAGCTATGTCCCTATAGAGAGAAACATTACAGACACATTCTATCAGTAATATAGGAGGGAGTTCTTAGCTATGTCCCTATAGAGAGGAAACATTACAGTACACATTATATACAGTAATTAGGAGGGAGTTCTTAGCTATGTCCCTATAGAGAGGAGCAGAAAGACACAGTTTATACATTACAGTACACATTATATCAGTAATATAGGAGGGAGTTCTTAGCATGTCCCTATAGAGAGGAACATTACAGTACACATATATACAGTAAATATAGGAGGAGTTCTTAGCTATGTAGAGAGGAAACATTACTACAGTAATATAGGGAGTTCTAGTCCCTATAGAGAGGACACACAAGAGATCCATGTTATCTGATGACCAGACACCTGAGCATACTGCTTGCATTACATTAGTCTATATACTATGTATTTGGGGATTGAATTAGATGGTTCTATGTTTTTCCATTCATCTGTAGATTTCTTTCAATTCATACTAATGTCTGACACATTTAGATTTTGGGGTGAATTGTCCCTTTAACCAGAAGAATTCCAAGCTAACATCAATCACACTTTCTATTACTCTCTCGAGCTAAAACAGCATTCCTCCACCACAACCGTGAGCAAGGCAGCATTGATTTAACAGTTAGCTGACAAATCTAGGCATGGAGGAATGACCTGACGCCAGTGACATGCCTTTCTGCCTGCTGCGTTGTTAAAGTCTAAGTTTTCCACACAATTACCCACAGGTAGCTAGCAGGAAAATTGAGTATTGATTGTCACCAGGCAGAGAGAGGAAAAGCAAACAAAAACATGTACCGGCAACACCACTGAGCAATGTGAGCTTTATATATATGGATTCACAAACAAGTGAGTCTACGTGATTCTATTATAGCATCTTGTAACGTCTTATAACATCTTGAGAATGCGGATTCGGCTGTTGTTTAGTAACAGCGTTCATATGGGGAGAGAGACAAAGTCGCAGTTTGCCAAGAGCTGATAGGATTTTCCAAGAATCTACCTCAGTATGTTCTGAGAAAACGCTGTGGAAGAGATCAACTGAGGAACATTCCCAATGTGAGATGATCTGAGAGTCTCTCTCTCTCTCTGAACCCTACGGAGATGTATCACATCCCACTATTGCATCCTGGGACATGCAGTTTGTGGGTAACACCTACCTGTAGAGGGAGGGGTCTTTCTTGAGGATGTCCATGTTGATGTGCTGCTCGATGAGGCTGAAGAGCAGGATGGGCAGAGAGGTGAAGCTGATGTTGTACAGCGTCAGATAGGCTGTGTCATACAGCGGCTGGAGGGAGACAGGATGGAGAGAACAGCCAAGATCAGTCATTTAAAACTATATTTATATCTTAGTAATTTATCATGCATTCTTAACCAGAGAAAAACAATGACAACTTCTCCACAAAGTCATAGTTTAAAGTACTAGAATTTTGGGCACATCTTTTATGTACCTGTTGGGAGAAGCCACAGAAGAACTGGTAGAGGAACTGAGGGAAGATGAAGGCGACGTTCTGAGGAAAAAGAAAATAACAACGTTTTAATGCTTAATCATCAGTAGCCTGTGTATTCCCCATAGCATGTTACATTTACTGAGAAAACACTCACTTTGTAGAAGAAGTACTGGACGAGCTCTGAGATGCGGATGTAGTAGTAATGTCCGTGAACCAGCAGCATCTTCTTCAGGTGTTTGAACTTTGGGATGGCGTAGTCACTGTTCCGCGCCGCCTGGCGACCCTCTTTACCCATGATGCCTTGGGGGAGGACAGGACTGAGCGCTTTTACCATTTGTTAGGTGAGTCATATACATGAATAAAAAAATATCAAAACTATATTCAAATATATATATAAAATCAACCAAAAGCCTAGGCAATCTAAATCGTATTCGAATTCAATTAACTTTATTGAAGAGAGGTCCATTTACAGTGAACAGGGTAATACTAACCGATGCCCACGTGAGCCTCCAGGATCATGCTAACATCATTAGCTCCGTCTCCAATGGCTAGCGTGATGGGGTGTTCTGGAGACGCTTTGATCAGCTTCACAATCTGGCAACACAACATTTCAGGATCAGCGAGATAACAGTTTTTAAATCTGTATAATTCATCAAGAAGATATGTCTTTGTTTAAAACAATCTTTGTAAAGAGAGTTAGAGCCAAACCCACAGACGTTGTTATATGAACCTAACCACTCTTGTGTATTAACGTGACAGAGAGGATACATATAGTAGTAAGACTTCCTGGGTGAAGGTCACGCCATATTACATCACAGCCCATATCCCTCTCCCTCCTAGCACAGCGGAGGAGAACTAGAGGGAAGAGTGGTATTGTGCAGTAAGAGATAGTGACAGTCATGTCAGACAGAGCTCAATAGAACTCCTCAGTAAGAGATAGTAACAGTCATGTCAGACAGAGCTCAATAGAACTCCTCAGTAAGAGATAGTAGCAGTCATGTCAGACAGAGCTCAATAGAACTCCTCAGTAAGAGATAGTAACAGTCATGTCAGACAGAGCTCAATAGAACTCCTCAGTAAGAGATAGTAACAGTCATGTCAGACAGAGCTCAATAGAACTCCTCAGTAAGAGATAGTAACAGTCATGTCAGACAGAGCTCAATAGAACTCCTCAGTAAGAGATCGTAACAGTCATGCAGACAGAGCTCAATAGAACCTCCTCAGTACGAGATAGTAACAGTCATGTCAGACAGAGCTCAATAGAACTCCTCAGTAAGAGATAGTAACAGTCATGTCCAGACACGAGCTCAATAGAACTCCTCAGTAAGAGATAGTAACAGTCATGTCAGACAGAGCTCAATAGAACTCCTCAGTAAGAGATAGTAACAGTCATGCGAACAGAGCTCAATAGAACTCCTCAGTAAGAGATAGTAACAGTCATGTCAGACAGAGCTCAATAGAACTCCTCAGTAAGAGATAGTAACAGTCATGTCAGACAGAGCTCAATAGAACTCCTCAGTAAGAGATAGTAACAGTCATGTCAGACAGAGCTCAATAGAACTCCTCAGTAAGAGATAGTAACAGTCATGTCAGACAGAGCTCAATAGAACTCCTCAGTAAGAGATAGTAACAGTCATGTCAGACAGAGCTCAATAGAACTCCTCAGTAAGAGATAGTAACAGTCATGTCAGACAGAGCTCAATAGAACTCCTCAGTAAGAGATAGTAACAGTCATGTCAGACAGAGCTCAATAGAACTCCTCAGTAAGAGATAGTAACAGTCATGTCAGACATATGCTCAATATAATATACTGTAACTCCTCAGTCCCCAAAAATGTATCCTATGACAGGTGGGGTCTAATGTGAGAGAAAGAGCGAGAGAAGAGAGGGAGAGAGAGACAAAAAGATACTGGGTCGGAGAGAAATAGCGAAGTGGAGAGACGGATAGAGAGAGGGAGAGAGGGGCAATAGTCTGGAGTGGCACTAATTGGTGACCAGAGACCAGAGGCGGGGGGAGGGAGGGAGGGAGGTAGTGGAGTCCAGAAGAGAGGTAAAACATCAACCAGCTCAACACTCCATCAGACTGTGTCAGTGCATCCTTCAGTTAACCTAGCCATGACGGATCACATGACTCGAAAGTCATGTTGGTCGGAAACAGGTGTGGAAACGTGTCGTTTGAAATAACAAGGCCTGTTAGGCTACCTGTGCTTTCTGGAGGGGCGCCATCCGGCAGCAGAGCACAGCACTGCAGTTCCTACAGATCTCCAGGAAGATCTCCTTGTAGTTCCCCTGACTGGAGTCCTCCTGACTGGGCTTCAGCACCGCAGACAGGGTGGCCCCATCGATGATCAGACCGTAGTCCACACAGTCAGCAGACAGACTGGGGACACACACACAGAGACACACATGCTAATACACACAGTCTTTAACTAACCTTGTGGGGACACACCATTTATAACCATTCAAAATCCTATTTTCCCTAATCCTTAAACCTAACCCTAACTCTAAACCTAATTCTAACCCTAATTCTACCTTAACCCCAAACCCTAACCTTAACCCTAAACCTAACCCTACCCCTAAACCTAATTCTAACCCTAATTCTACCTTAACCCTAAACCCCCTAGACTAACAAAATGTCCCCATTTAGTAAAAGTTCTGTAAGTTTACTATTCTTGTGAGGAATTTCTGGTCCCCACAAGTATAGTTAAATACATCCAGGTGCACGTGTGTATGTGTGTTGGGTTCCCGGCACCCACCCTGAGAAGGTGTCTCTGGTCATGCTACCATGCTGTCTGAGTACAGTTTTTCTCAGGTCAAACAGAGCGTCATGTAGACTCTGCTCCTCGGTGCGTTTGGTGGTCAGCTCCAGTATCTGTGTGGACCGGCGGAACAGCTTGCTAGCGTAACAAGTAGCCGCCGCTGTCTCCATCTTATCCCCGGTCAGGACCCACACCTTCATCCCAGCCTTCTGGAGAGACTCGATGGTGTCTGCTGCCTTGTCCTGGAGCCTGGAGAACAGGCAATATAAAGTCATCAGCAGTCAATGGAGCAACGCTGTACATGGTCATCAGCAGTCAATGCAGCAACACTGTACATGGTCATCAGCAGTCAATGCAGCAACGCTGTACATGGTCATCAGCAGTCAATGGAGCAACGCTGTACATGGTCATCTGCAGTCAATGGAGCAACACTGTAAAATAAATAAATAAATAAATATGCCATTTAGCAGACGCTTTTATCCAAAGCGACTTACAGTCATAATAATATAAATAATAATATGCCATTTAGCAGACGCTTTTTATCCAAAGCGACTTACAGTCATGCGTGCATACATTTTTTGTGTATGGGTGGTCCCGGGGATCGAACCCATGCGTGCATACATTTTTTTTTTTGTGTATGGGTGGTCCCGGGGATCGAACCCACTACCTTAGCGTTACAAGCGCCGTGCTCTACCAGCTGAGCTACAGAGGACCACACTGTACATGGTCATCAGACCAAACGCTGCATTCTAAATCTCTAATTCTACCACATCCATACAAAGCAGATATGATTTGTTCAGGTTTAGATTAGAATGGAATGGAATGGTGCAGACACAAGATGCACAAACAGTTTATAATAAAAGTGCTACAACAACTATCTCCAGTAAGATACACTACATTTTGACAACGGTAGTGCTGTTTTACACTGTCAAAGTTTCACTCACTATCTAAATGTAGTTAAGTACAGTATACAGGAGGCTGGTGGCACCTTAATTGGGGAGGACGGGCTCGTGGTAATGGCTGGAGTGGAATCAGTGGAATGGTATCAAATACACCAAACACATGGTTTCCATGTATTTGATGCCATTCCATTGGCTCCGTTCCAGCCAATATTATGAGCAGTCCTCCCCTCAGCATCCTCCACTGGTACAGTAAATTGGCTTTGGAGTGCTGTGTTGACCTGGAGTGGGTTTGGGGAGTTGGATTGTTGCAGCAGCAGTCCAACGTCACAGAACAGTGAAGTCCATAATGAAGCCGCAGTGCAGTTAGGATTCACAGCTCCCTACAGTGCAGCCTGCTGCCTGCCAACCAGCGAATTACTACCACAGCCCAGGAGTCACAGACAAACACACAGACGGACGGACGGACGGACAGACGGACAGAGGGACAGACAGACAGAAAGACGCATACACACATGCACACACACGTGCACGCATCAACATGCACACACAAAGATAGAGGAAAACATGACACACACACACTAGCACACACACTAGCACACTCACACACACACACACACACTAACTCACACTAACTCACACACACTAGCACACAGATAGACAGATAGAGAAGTGAGTGAGAGAAAGGAACAGTGATGGGCTGTGACTGACTCTCTTTAATGGGGCAGAAGCAGACCTGATACCAGAGTAAAACCGCTGATGTTTTAGCATGACGTCTGTGCTGACAGACAGACAGAACGGCAGTAAGAGACCCCACTTCATCAGCTGCTATGGATGTCTGGCAGAGATCAATAACAGTGGAACTCTAATGTGGTTATCTGCTCATTAGCTGGCTGCACTGGAGCCTGACAGACACAACATATTGACTGACTGACTACTGCCGCTACTGTTCCTGTTGAGGTTAATGTTAGTCTGAGAGACTGCAGTCCTGCAGCTAACTAATATTACTGGTTTACAGGCTGCTTTGGGAAAGAACAAGTGCCATCACTACAGGAATGCTCAGCCCTATTGCTCAACAATGTGATTAGTTCAATAGCCAACATCACTACAGGAATGCTCAGCGCTATTGCTCAACAATGTGATTAGTTCAATAGCCAACATCACTACAGGAATGCTCAGCCCTATTGCTCAACAATGTGATTAGTTCAATAGCCAACATCACTACAGGAATGCTCAGCGCTTTTGCTCAACAATGTGATTAGTTCAATAGCCAACATCACTACAGGAATGCTCAGCGCTTTGCTCAACAATGTGATTAGTTCAATAGCCAACATCACTACAGGAATGCTCAGCCTTTGCTCAACAATGTGATTAGTTCAATAGCTAACGTCCTAGACCGGGTCAGTGAGTCCTATTGTCATTAATTAACTAGGCAAACTAGGGCTTGGAGAGTGGGGTTGAGTTTCAGTTGAATACTCTACTGTCACTACTCTACTCCCTGTCTCTCTAGCCCCATACATTGTTAGCTCTAAAAAGAGTTGCCTGTAATATAACTCTCTTCTGTCCAGAATATAGAAATAGAATTAGTAGAAACAATAGATCTAAAATCCACAAGATAGTGGTTCTGATTCTACGTTGTGATTCTAGATCGGTACCTGTCCTCAACAGCGGTGGCCCCCAGAATATAGAAATAGAATTGGGTAGAAAAGACTATGCAGATTCTATGATCCTGTGATTCTACACTGTGATTCCAGATCTGTACCTGTCCTCTACAGCAGTGGACCCCAGAATATAGAAATAGAATTGGGTAGAAAAGGGGCGGCAGGTAGCTTAGTGGGTAAGAGCGTTGTGCCAGTAACCGAAAGGTCGCTGGTTCTAATCCCCGAGCCGACTAGGTGAAAAATCTGTCGATGTGCCCTTAAGCAAGGCACTTAACCCTAATTGCTAATGTAAGTCGCTCTGGATAAGAGCGTCTGCTAAATGACTAAAATGTAAATGTAAAAGACTATGCAGATTCTATGATCCTGTGATTCTACACTGGGATTCTAGATCTGTACCTGTCCTCTACAGCAGTGGACCCCAGAATATAGAAATAGAATGGGTAGAATAGACAGTGATGATTCTGTGATTCTACGCTGTGGTTCCAGAACGTTACCTGTCCTCCACGGCGGTGGCCCCCAGCAGTATGAAGTCCTTCTCAATGATGTCATAGGCCTCGGCCAGCTTCCTGTCTCGGTCCTGCAGGGCCAGCTTGGCGCTGTTCAGCAGGTGACACGTCTCCTCGTACTGAGCCACGCTCAACTTCCTGTACGCCACGCACAGTGTCCGTAAGCCCTCCTGAAGAGAGAGAGAGAGTGAGAGCGAGCGAGCGAGATAATTATGTTATAAGAGGCAAATAAGTTATGCTTTGATATGATTACTGGACACTTTGATGTTGCAATTGCCAATCCGATAAACATTTTTATTCCACTGTTCTGTTTGCTTTTTTCCCAGCTAAAAACAGTCAATGACATAACTGACAGAGCAGTGGGTTACAAAAAGCTGCAGTTTGCACAGACTGGCATCGAAGGATGTCCCACTGGGCAGAGTTCCCATACCAGTTTAGTCTGTGGCAGTAGACTTATGACCTTGACCTTTCACATAAACAAACACACGCACACACACAAACATGCGTACGTGCACGCAGATGTGCGCACACACACACACACACACACACACACACAATGACACGTCAGTTCTGACATTCTCTCAGTGCCAGTCTGGTTCACACCAGCATCACCGCTGGCCATCCCATTGTAACGTAACCAGGGAAACGCATTCTCCATGACAGTCAAAAGAAACGGGTCGGCGCCGCTGCCAACGGCAACCCAAACTGCATCCAGAATTATGGCAACCAGCCTGTCCTGATTCTGTCAGTGTAGCGTTGGAGAGATTGGGCCAGAGCCATGGATACACAGGGATCAGTAGACTACCCTTCCACGTTGGCACCAAACACTCCATAATGACAGTCAATCAAATTCTCAGTTACATTCCATATACAACTGTCTTGGAACTTTTGGTGGCCAACATCTTAAGTAAGGACACTATCAGGACTCAAAAGGACACAATAATCAGTTAGCATTTAGCAGGGTCTACCATACAGCCATATGACAATATACACCTCAAACAAAGCAAACATGAAAGTCAAAAATGCATTTGAGGTCAGAAACTCTGAAAGTCTGATTTTGGAGATACTTTAGGACAACGGCCTCTAGTGTCTGATAATGGCTTCAGTGGGTGTATGTGTGTGTGTGTGTGTGTGTGTGTGTGTGTGTGTCTGTCCTTACCACAGCGTTGTGCTCCACTCTGGCTTTGACCTGCTCCACCTTGCCAGAGATCACCCTGGGGAAGATGGATGAGTCGGCCCCTTTACAGAACAGGTAGTACTCCCCTGTGGACACACAACACACACCCACACACCCACCCACACACAGTTAAAACAGGTTCCTCATTAGCAGAGAGAAGCATCATTAGGTTGCAGCAGTCTGTGGCAGACAACACTAGAACTGTTCATCAGTGAGACTGACTCTACCGTCATTAGTATGCCATCTGCCTGTTGACCCCATCGCCCACATACGACCCTCTCTATTAGCATACAGTACAGACACACACAGACACACATACAGGCTTACAGAATAATGACCGGGTTGCCGTAGTAATGACTGCACTCCTCTATAAAAAGCACCAGCCACTCCCATTCAGATACAGATACCTCTAGTTTCTACAGTGAGGGAAAAAAGTATTTGATCCCCAGCTGATTTTGTACGTTTGCCCATTGACAAAGAAATGATCAGTCTATAATTTTAATGGTAGGTTTATTTGAACATTGAGAGACAGAATAACAACAACAAAATCCAGAAAAACGCATGTCAAAAATGTTATAAATTGATTTGCATTTTAATGAGGGAAATAAGTATTTGACCCCCTCTCAATCAGAAAGATTTCTGGCTCCCAGGTGTCTTTTATACAGGTAACGAGCTGAGTGCTCCTAATCTCAGCTTGTTACCTGTATAAAAGACACCTGTCCACAGAAGCAATCAATCAATCAGATTCCAAACTCTCCACCATGGCCAAGACCAAAGAGCTCTCCAAGGATGTCAGGGACAAGATTGTAGACCTACACAAGGCTGGAATGGGCTACAAGACCATCGCCAAGCAGCTTGGTGAGAAGGTGACAACAGTTGGTGTGATTGTTCGCAAATGGAAGAAACACAAAATAACTGTCAATCTCCCTCTGCCTGGGGCTCCATGCAAGATCTCACCTCGTGGAGTTGCAATGATCATGAGAACGGTGAGGAATCAGCCGAGAACTACACAGGAGGATCTTGTCAATGATCTCAAGGCAGCTGGGACCATAGTCACCAAGAAAACAATTGGTAACACACTATGCCGTGAAGGACTGAAATCCTGCAGCGCCCGCAAGGTCCCCCTGCTCAAGAAAGCACATATACAGGGCCGTCTGAAGTAGTTTGCCCATGAACATCTGAATGATTCAGAGGAGAACTGGGTGAAGGTGTTGTGGTCAGATGAGACCAAAATCGAGCTCTTTGGCATCAACTCAACTCGCCGTGTTTGGAGGAGGAGGAATGCTGTCTATGACCCCAAGAACACCATCCCCACCGTCAAACATGGAGGGGACAGGACAATTCTAAGGGGACAGGACAACTTCACCGCATCAAAGGGACGATGGACGGGGCCATGTACTGTCAAATCTTGGGTGAGAACCTCCTTCCCTCAGCCAGGGCATTGAAAATGGGTCGTGGATGGGTATTCCAGCATGACAATGACCCAAAACACACGGCCACGGCAACAAAGGAGTGGCTCAAGAAGAAGCACATTAAGGTCCTGGAGTGGCCCAGCCAGTCTCCAGACCTTAATCCCATAGAAAATCTGTGGAGGGAGCTGAAGGTTCGAGTTGCCAAACGTCAGCCTCGAAACCTTAATAACTTGGAGAAGATCTGCAAAGAGGAGTGGAACAAAATCCCTCCTGAGATGTGTGCAAACCTGGTGGCCAACTACAAGAAACATCATGTTTTGCAGAGGGGTCAAATACTTATTTCCCTCATTAAAATGCAAATCAATTTATAAAATTTTTGACATGTGTTTTTCTGGATGTGGTTGTTGTTTTTCTGTCTCTCACTGTTCAAATGAACCTACCATTAAAATTATAGACTGATCATGTCTTTGTCAGTGGGCAAACGTACAAAATCAGCAGGGGATCAAATACACTGCTCAAAAAAATTCCCTCACTGTATGTTCTAGTATTATACTGGTAGTAATTGTACTATAGTACAGTACCTGTAGTTTCTATGTTCTAGTATTATACTGGTAGTAATTGTACTATAGTACAGTACCTGTAGTTTCTATGTTCTAGTATTATAATGGTAGTAATTGTACTATAGTACAGTACCTGTAGTTTCTATGTTGTAGTATTATACTGGTAGTAATTGTACTATAGTACAGTACCTGTAGTTTCTATGTTGTAGTATTATACTGGTAGTAATTGTACTATAGTACAGTACCTGTAGTTTCTATGTTGTAGTATTATACTAGTAGTAATTGTACTATAGTACAGTACCTGTAGTTTCTATGTTCTAGTATTATAATGGTAGTAATTGTACTATAGTACAGTACCTGTCGTTTCTATGTTCTAGTATTATAATGGTAGTAATTGTACTATAGTACAGTACCTGTAGTTTCTATGTTCTAGTATTATAATGGTAGTAATTGTACTATAGTACAGTACCTGTAGTTTCTATGTTCTAGTATTATACTGGTAGTAATTGTACTATAGTACAGTACCTGTAGTTTCTATGTTCTAGTATTATAACTGGTAGTAATTGTACTATAGTACAGTACCTGTAGTTTCTATGTTCTAGTATTATACTGGTAGTAATTGTACTATAGTACAGTACCTGTAGTTTCTATGTTCTAGTATTATACTGGTAGTAATTGTACTATAGTACAGTACCTGTAGTTTCTATGTTCTAGTATTATACTGGTAGTAATTGTACTATAGTACAGTACCTGTAGTTTCTATGTTCTAGTATTATACTGGTAGTAATTGTACTATAGTACAGTACCTGTAGTTTCTATGTTCTAGTATTATACTGGTAGTAATTGTACTATAGTACAGTACCTGTAGTTTCTATGTTCTAGTATTATACTGGTAGTAATTGTACTATAGTACAGTACCTGTAGTTTCTATGTTCTAGTATTATAATGGTAGTAATTGTACTATAGTACAGTACCTGTGGTGGACCTGACGATAACACTCATTCTCCTCCTCACTGAGTCAAAGGTCAATACCTCCAGCAGCTCAAACCTGGATGCAAGAGAGAGAGAGAGGGGTTGGGTTACTGACCACGCACACACCACACACACACACACACACACACACACACACACACACACACACACACACACACACACACACACACACCACAGTCAGTAAGATAAACTGATGCCCACAGGCCATGGCTGGAGTAATGGACACACACTGACCTCTCGACCTCATCCTCCCTATTCAGAATCTCCATGTGACTGTCCTTCAGCCGCAGATAGGTGAAGCCAAGCCTGGGGGAAAGAGGAACGTACCATTACTGTCAGAACAGGGGAGCAGGTTAAACTGCAGCTAAATGTATGGCTATACAGTGCATTCGGAAAGTATTCAGAACCCTTGACTTTTTCCACATTTTGTTATGTTACAGCCTTATTCTAAAATGGATTAAACTTATGTAAATAAGGTATTTCTATTTTTATTTTTTTATAAATTTGCAATCACAAAAAAAATGACTTTTTGCTTTGTCATTATGGGGTATTGTGTGTAGATTGATGAGGATTTTTTAAAATTGTATCCGTTTTAAAATAAGGCTGTAACATAACAAAATGTGGATAAAGGGAAGAGGTCTGAATACTTTCCGAATACACTGTATATTATCTATCTATCTAGTTCATTTGAAATGCCTGGGAGTAGGAAAGACTTTCTGCCTGTTGCGTGTGTGTGCATGAGTCAGTGAGTGAGTGTGTGAGTGAATGATTGAGTGAGTGAGTGGGTGTTTGGGTGATTGAGTGTGTGAGTGAGTGGGTGATTGAGTGAGTGAGTGAATGAGTGAGTGAGTGAGTCGGTGATTGGGTGATTGAGTGTGTGAGTGTGTGAGTGAGTGAGTGACTGGGTGATCCAGGCTCTGTCGTAGCCGGCCGAGACCGGGAGACCCATGGGGCGGCGCACAATTGGCCCAGCGTCGTCCAGGGTAGGGGAGGGAATGGCTGGCAGGGATGTAGCTCAGTTGGTAGAGCATGGCGTTTGCAACGCCAGGGTTGTGGGTTCGATTCCCACGGGGGGCCAGTATGAAAAAAATAAAATAATGTATGCACTCACTAACTGTAAGTCGCTCTGGATAAAAGCGTCTGCTAAATGACTAAAATGTAAAACATGTGATTGAGTGTGTGAGTGTGTGTCATGCCAATCACCTCTTCATGCCCTCCACCAGAGCCACCTCATCAGGTGAGGATGATATGTAGAAGGAGGTGGCCTTGTTCTGATGGATACCCATCTTGATGCCATCCACTGTCACCTCCTCCTTCACCTGTACCGTGTGGCACAGACACAACGCCCGGAAGAACAACTCCTCAGTCTCCTGGCATGCCAAGCACAGAGAACACGTCACACAACACACACATACATACGTATAAACACACGAATACAGGAAACATACGTTTGAATACATCATTAGGATCCATAGTAAAACACAATCCACATTTCCTGAAAGTCATGCTTCTTAGTCCTCGTACACACAGACACACACAGACACACACAGACACACACAGACACACAGAAGACAAAGGAATGGCACAGGCTGGTCACCGGAGTGAAGCGGCCCTCTCTAGTCCTGGCACACAGCAATGTGTGTGTGTGTGTGTGTGTGTGAGACACTGGATCCCTGGGTGGCTTAATGTGTCATCCTTAGAGAGAGTATCAGTGTCACTCTGAGTTTAGGGTTCACCCAGGACATCCAGGTAAAAGCTGCTAGTATCCAGCTGGTCTTCATAGGGATAGGGTTAGGGTTCACCCAGGACATCCAGGTAAAAGCCGCTAGTATCCAGCTGCTCTTCATAGGATAGGGTTAGGGTTCACCCAGGACATCTAGGTAAAGGCTGCTAGTATCCAGCTGGTCTTCATGCTGGTCTTCATATTGATAGGGTTAGGGTTCACCCAGACATCCAGGTAAAGCTGCTAGTATCCAGCTGGTCTTCATAGGGATAGGGTTAGGGTTCACCCAGGACATCTAGGTAAGCTGCTAGTATCCAGCTGGTCTTCATGGTAGGGTTCACCCAGGACATCCAGGTAAAGCTGCTAGTATCCAGCTGGTCTTCATAGGGTTAGGGTTAGGGTTCACCCAGGACATCCAGGTAAAAGCTGCTAGTATCCAGCTGGTCTTCATAGGGTTAGGGTTAAGGTTCACCCAGGACATCCAGATAAAAGCCCTAGTATCCAGCTGGTCTTCATAGGGATAGGGTTAGGGTTCACCCAGGACATCCAGGTAAAAGCTGCTAGTATCCAGCTGGTCTTCATAGGGTTAGGGTTAGGGTTCACCCAGGACATCCAGGTAAAAGCTGCTAGTATCCAGCTGGTCTTCATAGGGTTCGGGTTCACCCAGGACATCTAGGTAAAGGCTGCTAGTATCCAGCTGGTCTTCATAGGGATAGGGTTAGGGTTCACCCAGGACATCCAGGTAAAAGCCTCTAGTATCCAGCTGGTCTTAAAGGGGGATGAAACAATATCTGACCCTGTATCAGTGGTTAGGGAGGGGTAACTTGTCCTGTACATACTCGTACAGTACATCAAGTGACAGTGAGGCTCTCTGTCTCACCTTGCCCCCTGGTCCAGGTGAGGAGTCAATCATGTCCATGCTTGTTGCCCCTGGCATGACCTGTCCATTGCAGATGGCATCAGGGATGTAAACATAGCCGTCCACACAGCACTCTATAAACTCCATGTTGTTCTCTGTCAGGGTGCCTGTCTTGTCTGTAAACACGTACTCCACCTGGAAAACACACACATTCAGGTAAGAGTGGTGAGTGTGTGTGGTGTGTGTGTGTGTGTGTGTGTGTGTGCTTCCATGCCTGTGTGTGTGTGTGTGTGTACTATGTGTATAGCCTACCTGTCCCAGTTCTTCATTGAGGTCAGATGTGTTAACCTGAGCCCTCTCTCCCAGCTCCTCGTCAAACATCTCATCATCCCACATGATGAAGTAGGACCCCAGGAACTTCTGCATCTCCACGGTAACGTACATGGACACGGGAATGATGTAATTAAACAACACCATGAAGGCCAGGAAGTCTGTGAACGCCCGGATCAACTGGAGAGAGAGAGAGAGAGAGAGAGAGAGGACGGAGGTAGGAGGAGGGAGAGAGGGGAGATGAGGGAGAGAGAGAGTCAGTGGTGACAGAGAGAGAGAGAGAGAGAAAGTGAGAGGTGAAAAACACATCAGCTATTGCATAAAAATTACACCCAGAATGCTGAATTGTGGGTATTGTAGTTTTATAACCTACTATATGGCGTTGCCTCTCTATGTCAGTCTTCTGGTTGTAGAAGGGCTCATCTCTGTCTGGGTCAGCCTGCCACACATACTTCATCACTGTGTTGATCAGAGCCTTGCTGATCAGGATGCACAGGTACACTATCAGATACGCATTCATTGACCTGGAGGGGTGACAGAGAGGAGGGGGAGACAGGGAGGAGAGGGGGACAGAGAGGAGGGGGAGACAGAGAGGAGGGGGAGACAGAGAGGAGGGGGAGACAGAGAGGAGGGGGAGACAGAGAGGAGGGGGAGACAGAGGAGGGAGAGACAGAGAGGAGGAAGAGACAGAGAGGAGGGGTGACAGAGAGGGGGGGTAACATAGAGGAGGGGTGACAGACAGAGAGGAGGGAGAGAGAGAGGAGGGAGAGACAGAGAGGAGGGGTGACAGAGAGGAGGGTAACATAGAGGAGGGGTGACAGACAGAGAGGAGGGAGAGACAGAGGAGGGAGAGACAGAGTGGAGGAAGAGACAGAGAGGAGGGGGGAGACAGAGAGGAGGGGAGACAGAGAGGAGGGAGAGACAGAGAGGAGGGGAGACAGAGATGAGGAAGAGACAGAGAGGATGAGGAGACAGAGAGGATGGGGAGACAGAAGAGGGAGAGACATAGAGGAGAGGAGACAGAGAGGAGGGGGAGACAGAGGAGGGAGAGAGAGGAGGGGGAGACAGAGAGGAGGGGGAGACAGAGAGGAGGGAGAGAGAGGAGGAGGTGACAGAGAGGAGGGGTGACAGAGTAGAGAGGTGACAGAGAGGAGGGGTGACAGAGAGGAGAGGTGACAGAGAGGAGGGGTGACAGAGAGGAGAGGTGACAGAGAGGAGGGAGAGACAGAGAGGAGGGGTGACAGAGAGGAGCGGTGACAGAGAGGAGGGGTGACAGAGAGGAGAGGTAACAGAGAGGAGGGGTGACAGAGAGGAGAGGTGACAGAGAGGAGGGGTGACAGAGAGGATGGGGTGACAGAGAGGATGGGGAGACAGAGAGGAAGGAGAGACAGAGTAGAGAGTTGACAGAGAGGAGGGGTGACAGAGAGGAGAGGTGACAGAGAGGAGGGGTGACAGAGAGGAGGGGTGACATAGAGGAGGGAGAGACAGAGAGGAGGGGTGACAGAGAGGAGGGGTGACAGAGAGGAGGGGTGACAGAGTAGATGGATGAGAGGAGGGGAGACAGATGCAGAGGAAATTACATTTGAATGTCTTCAGGAAGGGTGGACGGTCTCAAAGGGTCTTTATGGGGAAAGCGGATATGATGCAATTAGACGGTAATCAACGTTAAGTGAACCTGTCCGGAAACATGGTAAACATGCATCATAAAGTGGAAAACACAACCATGTTGGTGGGCCTTACTTCTCCACTGCAGAGCGTTTCTGGGACTTGGACTGGTAGTTGAGTGCCATCTTGGTCTCCATACCAGTATAGATGGCAACAGCTAGGAGACACAAACAACAGGGTCAACTTGGGGAGATATTTCACATCAGTGGAGATGAAGGAAAGAGACTAGGAAAGGGAACAACTTTGGACTATTTGTCACGATCGTCGTAAGGAATAGACCAAGGCGCAGCGTGATGAACGAACATGTTTTAACTTTATTATCTTTAGTGATAATAGACCACAATAAACAAAACAAGAAACGACTCGTGAAGTCCACGGTAACAATGACCAACACGGAACAAAAACCCACAAACACAAAGGGAAAACAGAGAGTTTAAATATGGCTCCCAATCAGAGACAACCAACGACAGCTGACACTCGTTGCCTCTGATTGGGAATCACTCTAGCCAACATAGAAATAAACACAACAGAATGAACACACCCTGGCTCAACATATAGAGTCCCAGAGCCAGGGTGTGACAGTACCCCCCCCTAAAGGCGCGGACTGCGACCGCGCCTCAACTTGAACAAAACAGGGGAGGGCTGGGTGGGCATACCTCCTCGGCGGCGGTTCTGGCTCCGGCCTTGCCACCCACCCTCCAATAAACCCCCCATAGCGCCCCTGGTCCAGTCTGGCCCCGCTGGCTGGAGCTGAACTGGACTTAGCAGGAGCGGTTAGCTTCAGCTCCATAGTGGAGCAGTTGACCGGTACCTTACCAGGCACCGGTGACCCAGGCACGGGTTGTGCTGGACTGACGACGCGCACCCCTGGCTTGGTGCGTGGAGGAGGAACGGGCCTTACCAGGCTGACGACGCGCACCCCTGGCTTGGTGCGTGGAGGAGGGACGGGCCTTACCAGGCTGACGACTCGCACCCCTGGCTTGGTGCGTGGAGGAGGAACGGGCCTTACCAGGCTGACGACTCGCACCCCTGGCCTGGTGCGTGGAGGAGGGACGGGCCTTACCAGGCTGACGTCTCGCACCCCTGGCTTAGTGCGAGTGGCAGGAACAGGCCGGGCCGGGCTGGCGACGCGCACCGTAGACTTGGTGCGAGTGGCAGGAACAGGCCGGGCCGGGCTGGCGACGCGCACCGTATACTTGGTGCGAGTGGCAGGAACAGGCCGGGCCGGGCTGGCGACGCGCACCGTAGACTTGGTGCGAGTGGCAGGAACAGGCCGGGCCGGGCTGGCGACGCGCACCGTAGACTTGGTGCGAGTGGCAGGAACAGGCCGGGCCGGGCTGGCGACGCGCACCGTATACTTGGTGCGAGTGGCAGGAACAGGCCGGGCCGGGCTGGCGACGCGCACCGTAGACTTGGTGCGAGTGGCAGGAACAGGCCGGGCCGGGCTGGCGACGCGCACCGTAGACTTGGTGCGAGTGGCAGGAACAGACCGGGCCGGGCTGGCGACGCGCACCTTAGACTTGGTGCGTGGAGCAGGGACAGGCCGGGCCGGGCTGGCGACGCGCACCGTAGACTTGGTGCGTGGAGCAGGGACAGGCCGGACTGGGCTGGCGACGCACCCCGTAGGCTTGGTGCGTGGAGCAGGGACAGGCCGAACCGGGCTGTGGAGACGGATAGGAGACCTGGAGTGAAGAGCGGCCACAACCCGTCCTGGCTGAATGCCTACCCTCACACACTCTGTGTGAGGCATCCGCACAGGACGTACAGGGCGGTGTACCCGTAACCTGGTGGCCTTCTGAATCCGCCCCTTTTCTGCCTCCGTCAGCCCCGTCGTCCATGCCGTGTGCCCCCCCCTAAAAAAATTCTGGGGTTGCCTCTCGCCTGTCCGACGTTGACACTGCTGACGCCGCTGCTCCTCTTTCGCCAGGGCCTCTCCCGGCGCTTCCTCCCATGTCCAGTCCAAGTTCTGCCCCGGGACACGCTGCTTGGTCCTTACTTGGTGGGTTTTTCTGTCACGATCGTCGTAAGGAATAGACCAAGGCGCAGCGTGATGAACGAACATGTTTTAACTTTATTATCTTTAGTGATAATAGACCACAATAAACAAAACAAGAAACGACTCGTGAAGTCCACGGTAACAATGACCAACACGGAACAAAAACCCACAAACACAAAGGGAAAACAGACAGTTTAAATATGGCTCCCAATCAGAGACAACCAACGACAGCTGACACTCGTTGCCTCTGATTGGGAGTCACTCTAGCCAACATAGAAATAAACACAACAGAATGAACACACCCTGGCTCAACATATAGAGTCCCAGAGCCAGGGTGTGACACTATTGAGATGCAGCCCTGGTGGCAATAATATCAGTCAGATCTGACAAGTCAAGTCTCTGTCAGTACTGAATACTATTATAGTGTCCTACAATTATCTGTGAAATCAATTCCCATCCCAGTCATCTGATTTCATAATAAGACTTGGCTTGCAGTCATGTCATCTCATGCAGTGTACTGACTGCATTCCTGCTTGACAGGTTGTAATATTCTCACTCATACAGGTCTGTACAGGCTTCATTATACAACCCACAGGAACTTAACCATTTGGAGTGGAATCTTTAAACATTCCACACTCATTCTATTAATGAAAACTAGGAATCTATTTTAGATTCTACTAGTGATGTCATTACAAGGTCACCCAGTGTAGTGTCTTTAGATTATATTAGCGATGTCATTACAAGGTCACCCAGTGTAGTGTCTTTAGATTATATTAGTGATGTCATTACAAGGTCACCCAGTGTAGTGTCTTTAGATTATATTAGTGATGTCATTACAAGGTCACCCAGTGTAGTGTCTTTAGATTATATTAGTGATGTCATTACAAGGTCACCCAGTGTAGTGTCTTTAGATTCTATTAGTGATGTCATTACAAGGTCACCCAGTGTAGTGTCTTTAGATCTATTTATGGCCAAGGTCACCCAGTGTAGTGTCTTTAGATTTTATTAGTGATGTCATTACAAGGTCAACCAGTGTAGTGTCTTTAGATTATATTAGTGATGTCATTACAAGGTCACCCAGTGTTAGTTGTCTTTAGATTTTATTAGTGATGTCATTACAAGGTCACCCAGTGTAGTGTCTTTAGATTCTATTAGTGATGTCATTACAAGGTCACCCAGTGTAGTGTCTTTAGTTTATATTAGTGATGTCATTACAAGGTCACCCAGTGTAGAGTCTTACCATATATGTGCTCTGTGTTTTTCAGTGTCGCCCCTCTGAGAAGTAGGTTCTCAGATCCCAAAGGCCTGAAACAAACACAGAATACACTTCTTTGTTAGAATACACATTGTCTTTTTTCTGAATGCAAACGAGCATTGACCTCCTGAATTTGGAGTGAATTTCCTGGGTCTGGATTTACCTCGCGATGGGCTCGTTTCTGTCCGAATAAATATTGATTCGGCCCACGAATCTGTCCAGGGAGAGAGGGAATGCATGTGTGAGTTAGTGTGTTTTGCGTTGTTTTTCTCTATACACATACATTTACAACCAGTACTGATTGTCTGGATGGGGTGTTGTGTGCAGGGTTGTCACTCACTTGTAGAGGTCTGGTTGTGGTTGTTCACATTCAATAGAAGCCTGTAGAGTATCGAAATCCTCCTCTGTGTTGAAGGCCTTAGTGTCCTGTACAGCATAGTAGGTCTTTGTGGAGGGATGGAGAGAGACACAGAGAGGTCAGGAACACATCGAGCCACGATGCATCTCACACTACCCCTCTAATGAAACAGAATACTAACTCTCTCTCTCCATTTCGCTCCATCTCTCTCTATCCCTCACATAAACACACTCACCCCCCTCTCTCACTCACTCTTTCCCCTGTCTCCCACTCTCTCTCTCTTTCACTTTCGTTTTCCCTCAACTCTCTCCCATTCTTTCTTTATCTCTGCCTCACCCACCTCTCTCCCTCTCCCCCTCCCATCTCCCTCCTCCTCTCTCAGTCAGAGTGTAGTGTTACCTTGTGACTGGATTCCCCGTCCAGACTGGCTGTAGTGACAAAACAGGTCCCGTCCTCCCTACTGGTGGAGAGAAGGATGAGGTCACAGGGGAACGTCTCATCTTCCTTCATTAGCACCACATCACCCACCTGGGAGAGGAGAGAGGGAGGGAAGGAAGGAAGGAAGGAAGGAAGGAAGGAAGGAAGGAAGGAAGGAAGGAAGGAAGGAAGGAAGGAAGGAAGGAAGGAAGGAAGGAAGGAAGGAAGGAAGGAAGGAAGGAAGGAAGGAAGGAAGGAAGGAAGGGGTGGGTTGGAAGGTAGAGAGTGAGAGAGATGTATTTAGTTCAATAGGATAACACAGTCTTGAGTTGTCTAAAGCAGTGGTTCCCAAACTGTGGATCAGACCCACTTGTGGGTCACTGTAGGGGTCCAGGTTGGTTGTGGGATGCCATTTGTTGTGCATTGCCACATTTTTTACTTTAAAACAATTAAATACATTTAAATACACTTTCAGGATGTAAAAAGACATAAACAACTAAAACCAAATAGAAAGTGTGTAGAAAAGATAATGGACCTATATATTTTGTAATAATAGTCTAGAATCTTTGAGAACTAACAATCAATGTTTTGAGCATAAGAACACAGCATTAGCCATCTCACATTTTTTTGAATTGCAGGAAATTTGCTTAACAAATGTGTCACGCCCTGGCCTCGAGAGGCCGGTTGTCTTTAGTTGGTTTGGTCAGGGCGTGAGGATCTATTTTATTATTTCTATGTTTAGATTCTAGATATGTTTTTCTAGGTTTGGCCGGTTCCGGCTGTCTCTGATTGGGGATCATACTTAAGTAGCCTGTTTGCCTACATTAGTTGTGGGATCTTGTTTATGTTCTGTGTTTAGGCTTGTATGTGTACAGCCTGAGGACGTCACGTTACGTTGTTTCTTGTTTTGTTTATGTTTATTGAGTTTAATAAACATGTTCGCATACCACGCTGCACCTTGGTCTGACCCGTCTCTCAACGATCGTGACAGAAGATCCCACCAAAAATGGAACAAGCAGCGTGCCCAGGAGCAGCAGACACCCTGGACACAGGTGGGGAAGTCATTTTGGACTTGGGAGGAGATATTGGCAGGTAAAGGACCCTGGGCGAAGGAGGAAGCCCAGGCAGGAGAGGATCAACGGCGACATCAACGGTGCCGGCCGAAGAGGAAGCCCGAGAAGCAGCCCCAAGAGAAAAAAATTGGGGGGCTCACGGGGTGGACGACAAGGCAGCAGGAGGCCGGGAAAGAGCTGACTAGAGAGGAGGAGGCCGCTATTCTAGAGGTCCTTCAAGACCTGCGGATCGAGAGTCTGAGAGAGGAGGCCACCACGTTACGGGAGCTGTTAGCTCAGAGGGAGCAGGAGTTATCCGTTCAGAGGGAGGCGCTACAGGATGCTCAAAAGGAGAAGGAAGTAGTGGAGGCAAGGAGAGTGGAGCTGGTCAGGCAACAGAAGGAGCGTGTGTTCATAGAGGAACCTAAATATGCGGAGATACGCACTGTGTCGCCAGTGCGCATGCACAGCCCAGTGCGTCCTGTGCCAGCGCCCCACACGTGTCGTGCGAGAGTGGGCATCCAGTCAGGACGGGTTGTGCCAGCTGTACACTCCAGACCTCCAGTACGCCTCCAAGGTCCAGTATATCCTGCTCCGGTTCACCAGTGCGCCTCACCAGCCCGGTAAGCACCGTACCTGCTCCTCGCACCAAGCCAGTGGTGCGTGTTCCCAGTCCGGTACGGCCCGTGCCAGCTCCTCGCACCAAACCAGTGGTGCGTGTCGCCAGCCCGGTACACCCCGTACCTGCTCCCCGCACCAGGCCAGTGGTGCGTGTCTCCAGTCCGGCCCGGCCTGTGCCTGCACCTCGCACCAAGCCAGTGATGCGTGTTCCCAGTCCGGTACGGCCTGTGCCTGCTCCTCGCACCAGACCAGTAGTGTGTGTTCCCAGTCCGGCACGGCCCATGCCCGTTCCACCGGTGCCTGGTCCAGCACCGGTCAGCTGCTCCACTCCGGAGCCAGAGCAGTCCGCTCCACCGGTGCCCAGTCCAGCTCCGGTCAGCGGTTCCAATCCGGAGCCAGAGCAGTCCGCTCCACCGGGGTCCAGTTCAGCAACGGTCAGCTGCTCCACTCCGGAGCCAGAGCAGTCCGCTCCACCAGTGCCCAGTCCAGCACCAGTCAGCGGCTCCATTCCGGAGTCAGAGCATTCCGCTCCACCGGGGTCCAGTCCAGCTCCGGTCAGCGGTTCCACTCCGGAGCCAGAGCAGTACGCTTCACCGGTGCCCAGTCCAGCTCCGGTCAGCAGCTCCAGTCAAGACCCAGAAGTCAGCCCCTCTCCAGGGTCGGGGTCTCCCACACCAGGGTCCAGACAGGGCTTGGTGCATCGTGGGGGGATTGCCGATCCAGGCCCAGACGTCAGCCCCTCTCCAGGTTCGGGGTCTCCCACACCAGGGTCCAGACAGGGCTTGGTGCATCGCGGGAGGATTACCGATCCAGGCCCAGACGCACCTTTGTGGGGGGGGGGTATTGTCACGCCCTGGCCTTGAGAGGCCGGTTGTCTTTAGTTGGTTTGGTCAGGGCGTGAGGATCTATGTTTAGATTCTAGATATGTTTTTCTAGGTTTGGCCGGGTGTGATTCCCAATCAGAGGCAGCTGTCGCTTGTTGTCTCTGATTGGGGATCATACTTAAGTAGCCTGTTTGCCTACCTTAGTTGTGGGATCTTGTTTATGTTCTGTGTTTAGGCTTGTATGTGTACAGCCTGAGGACTTCACGTTACGTTGTTTCTTGTTTTGTTTATGTTTATTGAGTTTAATAAACATGTTCGCATACCACGCTGCACCTTGGTCTGACCCGTCTCTCAACGATTGTGACAAAATGGCACAATTTTCTCTCAGCTCCATGACAAAATGTGTAGAATTGCAGGAAATGAGCTTTAAACTGAAACATTTTCTCTCCGCTGCCAAGATGATATTTTGTACTTATTATTGTGTATGTTTTTTCACTGCTCAGCCCTTATGGTGGGACGCCACTCAAAACACACCTTAATTGGTGGGTCACAAAGAAAAAATGTTTGGGAACCCCTGATCTAAAGACCCCAGGTTTGATCCCTGGTCATTTTCAGTTGTAGGATGATACGTACCCTCAGTTTACGACTCTGTTTCCTGATCACCTTCCCATGCTGCACCTCGTGTACAGGACACTGGTTAATAGCATTGTCTGCTTTGTGCCTGAGCCAGTCCTCATAGCCCTGTTTGATGGCCGTGACCGTGATGACGAAGAAGAGAGGGAGTCCGCTGGTGATGGGACTGGTGGGCGTGTCAATGATCAACTAAAGTGGGTGAGAGAGAAAGAGAGAATGATTTATTGTCATCTGAAACTTCTGCGTTTGCAAGATTTATATTTCTTGCCAACAAAGCCTTGAATTGACTTAAATTGAATCTACCCGTCAAGATCTTTTAATTTTATTTGTAACTTTTTTTTTGGGGGGGGGGGGGGTAGATCAGCTTTCGTATTGCAAGATCTTACCTGTACAAGAAATATGATGAGGAAGTAGAAATTGGCAATTCTTCTGAACTGCTCAAACAAATTCTTCGGTACAAAATTCCAGAATGTGTACTGTGGAAAGGGAAGCAACAGCACATGGTTATAACATGGTTGTAACATGGTTGTAACGCAGTTGTAACGTGGTTGTAGCGTGGTTGTGGTTCTCACCTTGGAGGAGATGATGCGGTTGTCGGGGTACCTCTGGGGGATGTAGGCCTCTGCTCCCGGCGGGGGCTCTTTGTTTCCAATGTACACGGTCCTGGTGTCCACCCAGTTCTCCTCTCCAGCACACTGCACAGAGGCCAAGAGGTCAAAGGTCAATGCCAGGTCAGCACACAGGTCAGGTCAGATCATGACAGGACAAATCAGGGCAGGTCAGGTCAGGTCAGGACAGGAGAAGAAACAGGGGCAACAAATGTAGCCTCATTGCCTGGCTGGCTGGCTGGCTGGCTGGCTACCTGGCTGGGTGGGTGCCAGGCAGTTGTTTTCTGCTCCAGCCAACATGTCTTTGTCTCACTAAACTTGGTTAGTGTTGTTGAATGCACAGACAGTCTGGCAGACACAATAGCATTACAGTCGCAAACAGTATAAATGACTGTGTTGAGTGTAATAAGCTGGCGACCTAACACAACACAACAGACCTAACAGTGAGTAAGTGCTCTGAGTCATGTAACAGTCATGTGGGGAATGACTAATGAGGGTTGGATATAAGCCTTCCACCTTCCAATAACTCTCCCATTCAACACTAACTATGACACACACCTTTATACAAACACACACCACAACACCATAGGAATGTCAACCCACTGATTTTAACCCTGTCTGGAATAGTCAAATAGAATAGAATCTGTTCAAACAGAATAAAATACAAAGAGAGGGAAATAAAATAAAATATAATAGAATCTTATGTAATAGAATAGAATCGTATTAAAGCCATTTCCTTACTGGTTTAGCCTTCGGTAACTAAATGGGTTGCGTCCAGTAGAGTGCTACATGTTTGCCCATGTCTGTTTATCACCCAGTGAGCTAGCTCATGGTTGAGAAGCTGGACAAGCCCAGACAGAGAGACACTGAGGGGATTTGATTCATGCCCCGGGTGAACTGGGTTAGCGGTGACTGCATTCCATTTAGAACAGGGCTGCATCCCGGGCGTGAGCCGGACGCCCCGTTCTGGACGTTCTAACGCTAACTTTCTAGCCTGTATGTTTATTGCCAAACAGAGCGTTTTTATAATGCTATACTTTCCTTAGAATACCTCCCTTGTCTGAATATAGTGTATATCCTGAGTTCCATAGATACTGGTCATGTCCTTTGTCTGAATATAGTGAATATCCTGAGTTCCATAGATACTGGTCATGTCCTTTGTCTGAATATAGTGTATATCCTGAGTTCCATAGATACCGGTCATGTCCTTTGTCTGAATATAGTGAATATCCTGAGTTCCATAGATACCGGTCATGTCCTTTGTCTGAATATAGTGTATATCCTGAGTTCCATAGATACCGGTCATGTCCTTTGTCTGAATATAGTGTATATCCTGAGTTCCATAGATACCGGTCATGTCCTTTGTCTGAATATAGTGTATATCCTGAGTTCCATAGATACTGGTCATGTCCTTTGTCTGAATATAGTGTATATCCTGAGTTCCATAGATACCGGTCATGTCCTTTGTCTGAATATAGTGTATATCCTGAGTTCCATAGATACCGGTCATGTCCTTTGTCTGAATATAGTGTATATCTTGAGTTCCATAGATACCGGTCATGTCCTTTGTCTGAATATAGTGTATATCCTGAGTTCCATAGATACTGGTCATGTCCTTTGTCTGAATATAGTGTATATCCTGAGTTCCATAGATACTGGTCATGTCCTTTGTCTGAATATAGTGTATATCCTGAGTTCCATAGATACTGGTCATGTCCTTTGTTTGGTTAGCATGTTATACTTTGTATGTCTCCTTAGTTCTGCCACTTTGTCTTGTATGTGAATGTGTTGTATCTATCTCCCTTTGTATCCCTCCAGACCAAAACCTTACCTACTGGCCTTACAAGCCATTCCATATCGCCATCCTACCCCCCATGTGCTCCTGTGTCCTTGTGCAGTGCCTTTTTTAGTTAGTTAATAAATACCCTGAACTGGAAACCTTGACTTCAACCATCATTCCTGCATTTCTACAGATGCTGCACCATGGTGGCAATATCACTCCTCAACCTAGCCTAAGATACAGTCAACCTAGCCTAAGATACAGTCAACCTAGCCTAAGATACAGTCAACCTAGCCTAACATACAGTCAACCTAGCCTAAGATACAGTCAACCTAGCCTAAGATATAGTCAACCTAGCCTAACATACAGTCAACCTAGCCTAAGATACAGTCAACCTAGCCTAACATACAGTCAACCTAGCCTAAGATACAGTCAACCTAGCCTAAGATACAGTCAACCTAGCCTAAGATACAGTCAACCTAGCCTAAAATACAGTCAACCTAGCCTAAGATACAGTCAACCTAGCCTAAGATACAGTCAACCTAGCCTAAGATACAGTCAACCTAGCCTAAGATACAGTCAACCTAGCCTAAGATACAGTCAACCTAGCCTAAAATACAGTCAACCTAGCCTAAGATACAGTCAACCTAGCCTAAGATACAGTCAACCTAGCCTAAGATACAGTCAACCTAGCCTAAAATACAGTCAACCTAGCCTAAGATACAGTCCGGCCTAGTTATTTTCTATAGACTCACTGGAGCCAGACAGAGGCTGCAGGGAATTATCTTATCAATACCTGAATGGTTGCTACTCTGCATACCTAATCAATCAAACCTCAGCTATTAAAAGGTCAGTTTGTAGTAATGTTTGGTTTGATTTGAACTGATTTCACTGTGAGGATATTCTGCAAAGTTCCAGAGTGTCCAGTGTGGTTTTTCAGTATGACCTGTAAGACAAGCAAATGTGTTCAGCCATACAGGCTCTGGTTAGCTGTGGTTCATAAGAGGCCAGTGTGAGGTGATGAGTGTGGTTTCCTAATATGGCCTGTGAAACTGTGCTCAGAATGCCCCTACCGCACCACTGGTCCACCCATCCATCCCATTAGACAGGGATTACAATGAGCCAGCATTTGTAGCATTAGCATCTTTAGCTAGTGGTTATGTCATTGGGGCGAGTACAGGCTACTATCCCTTTAGATATTATTTTTACCCACAGAGGGCACTGTGGTATATCGGCCAAGCAGATTAAACATATGTTAGCTCTTGTTCATTCATTATTCCTTTGTAGTTCAGTTGGCAGAGCATGGCACTTGTAACACCAGGGTAGTGGGTTTGATTCCCGGGACCACCCATACATACAAATGTATGCACGCATGACTGTAAGTCACTTTGGATAAAAGAGTCTGCTAAATGGCATATATTTAAGCAATATGGCCCGAGGGGGTGTGGTATATGGTGAATATACCACGGCTAAGGGCTGTTCTTAGGCACGACGCAAAGCGGAGTCTCTGGATACAGCCCTTAGCCGTGGTTTATTGGCCATATACCACAAACCCCTGAGGTGCCTTATTGCTATTATAAACTGGTTACCAACGTAATTAGAGCAGTAAAAATAAATGTTTTGTCATACCCATTGTCACGCCCTGGCTCTGGGGACACTTGTATGTTGAGCCAGGGTGTGCATTTCATTTGTTTATCTAGTATGTGTATTTCTATGCGGGCCTGAGTGGCTCCCAATCAGAGGCAACGAGTGTCAGCTGTCGTTGGTTGTCTCTGATTGGGAGCCATATTTAAACTGTCTGTTTCCCATTTGTGTTTGTGGGATCTTGTTTCAAGTCTGTTTATGTTAGACCGTGAACTGTCACGTATCGTTTGTTGTTTTTGATCGTGTCTCTAATTAAAGAGTATGTTTGCCTGCAACGCTGCGCCTTGGTCCTCATCTCTGTTTGACGATCGTGACAGAAGATCCCACCTCGACTGGATCAAGCAGCGTGACGAGGAGAGAGGATGGACTTGGGAGGAGATGAGTGCGAGTCTGGCAAGAGGGATGGAGGCCTTGGCCACGGGTAGGAGTGAAGCCCAGTCCATCCAGTGGTGTGTGTTCCCAGTACGGTCCGGCCTGTTCCTGCCACTCGCACCAAGTCAGTGGTGCGCTTCGTCAGCCCGGCACGGCCCGTTCCTGCTCCCCGCACCAAGTCAGTGGTGCGCTTCGTCAGCCCGGTCCGGCCCGCTCCTGCTCCCCGCACCAAGTCAGTGGTGCGTTTCGTCAGCCCGGCGCGGCCCGTTCCTGCTCCCCGCACCAAGTCAGTGGTGCGCGTCGTCAGCCCGGTCCGGCCCGCTCCTGCTCCCCGCACCAAGTCAGTGGTGCGTTTCGTCAGCCCGGCGCGGCCCGTTCCTGCTCCCCGCACCAAGTCAGTGGTGCGTTTCGTCAGCCCAGCTCGGCCCGTTCCTGCTCCCCACACCAAGTCAGTGGTGCGTTTCGTCAGCCCGGCGCGGCCCGCTCCTGCTCCCCACACCAAGCCAGTGGTGTGCGTCGTCAGTCCGGCACGGCCCGTGCCTGTTCCACCGGTGGCTGGTCCGGCACCGGTCAGATGCTTCACGCCGGAGCTAGAGCAATCCGCTCCACCAGTGTGCAGTCCAGCTCCGGCCAGCGGGGCCAGACCGGACCAGGGGTACTGTGGGGGGTTGGAGAGGGAGCGGGGATCAGGCCCGGAGCCGGATCCGCCGC